AAATGGCCAGGTGAGGTGGTGCACAATTGTAATCCCAGAACTTGGAAGGCTGAGCAGAAAGATTAAAAGTTCAAGGCCAGCCTCAGCCACTTAGCAAGATCCTGCCTCAAAATTTAAAAAATATAAAAAGGACTGGGGAAGTACCTCAGTGATAAAGTGCCCCTGGGTTACATCCCCAGTCCCAACAAACAAACAACAGCAATTAAAAAAAAAAATGCAAAGTAATAATTGACAAAGAAATGAGGATTGTATTTTCTACAAATATCAGGAAAAATAAATAAAACATTATCTACCACAGTGGACAATGCAGCACCTAAAAGTTCTAACTGGCACCTTGTCCATGTTAGATATCTTTTTTTGAGCACATCAAGAGTTCACCAGACCAGCTGCAGAAGACAAAGTAGTCTAAGACATAGTTCTTTAAAGTGTCAATAACATCACTGGAAAGGGCAGACAGAATTATGAAAAGATTTTTCAGGCAGACAACAATCACAAAACATCTGCTTAATTACCAGTTGAATTCTACATATGATAATATAGTCCATAAGAGTTCGAAGGACCCAAGTAGTACACTCAGGTTTAGGAATTAGAAAAATTTGTCAAGGACGGTTTAAGAACTGAATTTGAAAAGATGAGTGATTTTTGGACAGATGAACTACAGGTAGGGATGAGAAAATTCAAGTTAGGAGGAGGGGGCAAAGGGGCATAAAGAAGTCTGTTTAGGACAGGATGTGTCCAGGATATGATAAAAAAAAAAAAAAAGGCATGAGCAATTCTCAAAAACAAAACTCTGGAACCAGCCTAGGTGTCCCTCAAAGGATAATGGAAAAAGAAAATGTGGTATGTGTATATAATGGAGCTTTATTCAGCCATAAATAAAAACTAAATTGTTGGGCATGGTTGATACATGCCTGTAATCCCAACGGCTCTGGCAGCGGAGGCAGGAGAATTGTAAATTCAAAACCAGCTTTAGCAATTTAGTTGAGACCTTTTCTCAAAAAATTAAAAAGGACTGAGCATGTGTCTCAGTGGCCAAGTACCCCTGGGTTCAATCACTAGTACCCAAAATTTTAAACATTAAAAAAGAAAGAAAGAAAGAAAAAGAAAGGAAGAAAGAAAGAAAGAGAGAGAACTAGATCATTTGCAGAAAAACAGATGGAACTTGAGGAGAATGTTATGTTAAGTGAAATAAGCCAAACTTGCCAGGTGTTACCACACCTATAATCCCATGTAAATGCACACACATAATCCCAGCAGCTCTGGAGGCTAAGGCAGGAGGATCCAGAACTCAAAGCCAACCTCAGCAATTTAGGGAGGCACTAAGCAACTCAGTGAGACCCTGTTTCTAAATAAAATATAAAAAAGGGCTGGGGATGTGGCTCAGTGGTTGAGTGCCCCTGGGTTTAATCCCAGGTACCAAAAAAAAAAAGAATCCTAAAAGCTGAGTTTGCTGGCAGAAGGCCTGCCTCTTTGAAGGCAGAGAATAAGAAGGCAGTGGGAGGAGAAAGACTGAATGTGGTAGAGATGTTGGTTTTGGAAATTACAGTGGGACAATGGGAAGGAAAGACTGAATATGACAGAGATATAGGAGATAACAGGGGAAACAGATGCACTAAAGAAAGGAAGTGAGTGGTAATTGTACTGGATGACTGGAAAAGCATGAGAGAGCTGGGTGGTTGTTTTTGCAGTACCAGGAATTAAACCTAGAGCCTTGGGTATGCTATGCAAGTGCTCTACCATTGCGCTATATCCAGAGCCCCTAGAAGCTTAGTCTCACAAAGTAAAAGGAACAAAACAAAAGACCTTTAGTAAAAATGGTTTAAGTTGAAACATAATGTTACATTTACCTTGAACTCAAGCTAACTTAGGGTTTCCCCTAAAAAAAGAAGGTTCCTAAATATGTGCTATTTACCAGATACCACTCAAGAAATTTAAGATTTTTTTTTTTTTTTTGGTACTGAAGACCAAAACCAGAGTACGGAGGAGTTATGTCCCCACCTCTTTTTATTTTTTGAGACTGATTCTCACTAAATTGCCCAGGCCATCTCAAACTTCTGATCCTCCCACCTTAGCCTCCTGAGTCACTGGGATTACAGGCCTAGAACTTCAGTTAAGCATTATGATAAACTCAATTATAGAAGGCATAGCTTCACACTAAAGATACATAGTTATTTTAAAACAAAAACAATTAGGTTTCAGAGAAACTTTTTTTTTTTCATATCCTGTTAGCTTATATTCTCTCTGGCATAAAGATAATCCATCCCATGTAGGTGGCTTTAGGTGTAATTTCTCAAATTCAGGTACAAAGTAGTCTCTCCAAAGTTACCAGAACTTTGAACTGTGGTTTGATTCATTCTTGGTTTGCTCCTACTTATCCCTTCAGTAAATTTCCATTACTAGGCTCTGAGGCCTTTCTAACTAGCCAGACTTGAAGCTGTGTGTTTTCCCTAGTGATCTTTTAACTAAGATCAACTCTTCCTCATCTCTCAGTATTTTTCTTTCTTTTTTAAACGCTCTATCTTAGGTCACCACTCACATGTTAATTGTACATTAGCATTTCTAAAACTCACTTTAACTTTTTTAACAGTCAAGCATACAATAAATTATAAAAGAAGGTATTTTTCAGAACATTTAAGGGGAATCAACTAAAGAAAAATGTAGCCTTCTTATTTTGAGATAGAATTATTTAAATTTATTAGCAATAATATGGGCCATAAAAAATATTACTGAGGGCTGGGAAAGTGACTCAGGGTGCTTGCCTGGCACGTGTGAGACCCTGGGTTCAATCCCCAGTGCAGCAAAATACAAAACAACAACCAAAAAAAAAAACTTTTACTGAGAGCCAGTAACAGTGAGTCAGTAATGCTCACCTGCTAGCTGTTGATCAAGTCCCCAGAATAAGAAGCCTTTCATTCTCCCCCTTTTATATCAATCATAATATGATTTTAATTCATTAGAAGAGGTGCATGTCTAGATACAGGTTTTGCTGAGGAGACAGCACAAGATACCCAAAGGAATGAGTTAGAAGTAAAAAGGCTGGCTCAGGCATGAAAAGCACTGACCATCTGAGAGAGAGAGAGAGAGAGAGAGAGAGAGAGAGAGAGAGAGAGAGAGAGTTTGCTAGGTATCAAACAAAGGTCCTGTGCATTTTAAGCATGCATTCTTCACTGAGGTACATTCCCAGTTCCTCAATTTTTTGACAATGGGCTTTATCCACCATATACACCAAATCCTTTCTAAAAAACCCAAAACACCCAATACAAGGCTTAAATGATACTGTCTCATATTTGCTTATATAATACTTTCCAACTGCAAAATTTTATTTCTCAATCAAATTGTAAGCCCAAAATCAAGAGACAAAATCCACTGGCATGCCCTCAATAAGTAGAAGATATGCTAAGGGAATTAAAACAATTCCTTATTCAATATCCTATTCACTATATAGGGGTTAGGAGACAGGAAATATATGCATTTATTTTGCCTACAAACTATCCAACTATTGAACATGCTGAGATTTACTTTAGAAATAAATTCTTACAAGAGTAAAAGTACTCACGAAGTATCTATGCCAAAGGTGTCTGCTGTGAACCATTTTGTACATATCCCACACTGCAATTCCACCTCTCCCAACTGTCGGCAGTTTTCTTCATCCACAGAGCCTGCCTGAGTATCCATCACCTCTGAAGTATCCCCAGCACCTTCCTGTGAAATCAGAACAATTAGAATCAAATTAAGTTGGCTTGACTGCATTTTTGGTTCACTTAAAAATTTAAAAACAGGGGCTGTGGATGTAGTCCAGTGGCACAGTACTTGTGTTGTAAGCACAAAGCCCTGGGTTCAATCCTCAGCACCACAAAACAAAACAAAATTTATTTTGCCTCGCAAACATCCACAAAGAAATACTTACTAGTGTATCTTTTCCATTAGAGGATTCTGTCTCCAAACCACCACTTACATCAACCAAGTTTGCATCCCTGTAAGATAATGAACGCACTCAAGTAAGAATTTTCAAGAGAAACAAACCTCACAATGCCAAGTCCCAAAGATGATCATCAAAACATGGCTGAGCTGGGTGCGGTGGCGCACGCCTGTAACCCCAGCGGCTAGAGGCTGAAACTGAAGGATCGCAAGTTCAAAGCCAGCCTCAGCAATTTAGCGAGGCGCTAAGCAACTCAGCGAGACCTCTTCTCTAAATAAAATACAAAAAAGGGCTGGGGATGTGATTTAGTTAAAGCGCCTCTGGGTTCAATCCCCGTTACAAAATAAAAGAAAATACAGTTAAACTGGATCTGGACTGGATGCCCAGGATTACTATTAGGATACTAGGAAGAATGTGGTCAAGACAGACGAAGGTTCTTAGAATACTGAGACGTCTACTCGGGCAACCCAATTAGACAAGTCTGGATGAGCTGGTCCTAGGTGAGATTCACAGAGATGCAATTCTCCCACTCTGTTGCGAAAGGACCGTTACTTTTCCCAGTCTGGCACTGCAAAGTGATTTCCTTCCTGGAGTATTTGAGGATCTCCTGCAGGAAAAGAGAGCTAACAGCCTTCTATGGGGTACGGAGCCAAAGACAGGACAAGGTGCTCGGCTCTTACCTAACGAGAAAGGTGAGCAAAGGGGCGTGGCCTTAAATAGAGTTCGGAAAGGAAGCGCCAAGCCGAGGGCGGGATTACCCTCGTAGAGGGGGCAGGGAAAGTCGAGCCGTTGGCCTCAAGGTCCAGGTTCTGAGAGCGCGGGTAGGAGAGTTCCCGGGAGCCGCGGGATTGCGAGAGAATTCTGTGTCCTCAGGCCGCAGGACGCCTTACCCGCTTTCAGCCTCTCCAGAACTAGGCTCAGTCGCCGGAGCAGCAGACGTCCCCTCTCCGGCCGGAGTGGCTGCTACCGCTGTCACCGGTTTCGTTTCTCCCTCTTCTGCCGTTATTGCATTTGCTGCCGCTACAGGGCCAGGTCCGGAACCCGCTCCCGGGCCGGGTCCGGTTCCCGCCGCCGCCATTACTGCCGCCTCCCAGTCTTCTCGCGAGAACACTTCCTCCGTATCGCGCGAGCTGCTGCCTGGTTCTGTACTCTTCAAGTAGTAAAGCCCACTGGGAGGTCCACCACTTGCCAGAGGACTATGCAGTCCAGACCTAGCCGCTTTAAGGACAGGCGGGCGGGGCCGCGGCCCCTGCGGTTGTCGTTGTTAGCGCCAAGTGAAGGCGGAGGAGGCTCGTTAGTGTGGTTAATAATAATATTTACTGCATTTCAGGGATGAATGCTGCGTGGCTAAGACTGGACGTCACAATGCAGAGGAGGTGCCAGCTTGTAAATGCTGCTCGCCATTTAATGTGTGAGGACGAGAGCTCACTGCCCGGGCCTAGTGTACTTTGTTGTACTGCCTAGTGGTCTGCCACTTTGAGCACGTTTCCAGATGACCTTTAGAGCTGGGAATGTAGAGACTAATTGCAGAGCCCAAGCGAGAGTGAGTGTAGTGTCCAGGCGGGAGAGACCAGGCGTAATGTGTGCACTAGAGGTTCCAAGCAGCTTATTGTGAAAAGAGGAAAACGAAGGCCCGGACTCAGGGAGCCCGGTAGTAGAGGTCTTCGTTTAGAAAAGTTTGGTGCTTAGCGGGGAGTGGGTGGGGGACGGACTCAAGAATTTGATAAATCATTGTTAGTAGCTGGTAGTTGAGATCACTGGAGTGAATAGAAGCGCATTCGGAGTCAAGTCTCCAAACTCGAGGTTATAGACCTCTAGGAATATTGGGGCCAGAGTTTTTAGGAAAACAGAGTTTAGATAGATCCCATTTTCTTAAAAAGTTGCCAAAGGATACACTGTCCTCTCACTTTACAGAAAAAGACCTGCTGGGCACGGTGGTACACACCTGTAATCACAACTACTCAAGAGACTGAAGTAGGAGCATAGCAAGTTCAAGAGCAGCCTGGGAACTTTATACTAGACCCTTTCTCAAAAAGGGGGGGCGGGGCGGGGCTGGGCAGGGCTAGGGAGGGAACTCAGTGGTTGAGTGGGTAGAATGCTCTTGGGCTCAATCCCAATACAAGGGAGGCTCCAAGGCAGACCCAGTTAGTAGTCTACACTGGAGATAGTAAAGTGGTCTTAATGTCTTTACCAAGACTTCTCAGTGTGTCCAGAATAGGTTGTTCTCCAGCCTGGCACGGTGGCAACGCCTGTAATCCCAGTGGCTCCAGAGGCTGAGGGAGGAGGATCAGGAGTCCAAAGCCAGCATCAGCAAAAAGCAAGGCATTAGGCAACTCAGTGAGACCTTGTCTCTAAATAAAATACAAAACAGGGCTGGGGATGTGGCTCAGTGGTTGAGTGTCCCTGAGTTCAATTCCTCAGTACCAAAAACAAAAAAACAGAATAGATTGTTCCTGGAATAGGTTGTGCCCCAAAGGAAGATGCCTGCCTTGCATTCTTGCCCATCTGTTCCCCTACAATGCCCACATTCTGCTGCTGGATGTGACTTATGTAAACTGAGCCCATCTTCTCTCCTTACCAGCAGGGTGTCCAGTTGCCATCCAGATCCTTGGTGTCCTGAACAATGAATTCAGCAGGCACACAAGTAACAAGCAAAGTACAGATTTATTGATGGTGAAAATAGAAGTTGCCCTCAGCCAAGTCAGAGAGAGGCTCAAGGCCTGGATGTCTGGAAATTAGTGTTTTGAATACTGACCTGTGAGGCAGTCTCTTCACTTTATGGACCTGATTGAAGACTTTACCCCATTTGCCCCCATTGGTTACTTTATGATACCTGATTAGAATATTGTCCAGTCCACCCCACCATTGGTTACTTTAGAAAACCTAATTAGAATAATGTCCAATTTACTTCCATTGGTCATTTTAAAATACCAAACCTATGGCAGTTGTTGTTATGGTGATAAGCAGTCAATGGTAGGAGTTGTCATGGTAATGTGACTTACTCTAAACAAGGATATGACTTTTCTCCCTGTCTTGTCATCCAGTGGCATCCTTCTTATATCTGCCTCCACCATCTTGGTGTCCCTGAACTCCTACCTAACATAACACCCTCACTTTCCCTTGGGCCTCTCCTGACTCAAGCATACTTCTCCTTGAAGGGTGCATGCAAAGGTTAGCAAAGCACCAGGATGAAGTTTATAAAATTGCTGTTCCCATTCCAAAGAAAGGGAAAGCATTTCACAATAGAATTGGGGGAAGTTTGAATGCTTGTACTCAGGCACATGTCAGCAGTCTGTGAACTAATACTAGAGATGATTGTTTTTCTTTCTTTACTTTTTTTTTTTTTTGGTACTGGGGATTGAATCCAAAGGCTTTTTACCATTGAGCTATTATTCTTGCCCCCCCCCCCTTTTTTTGGGGGGGTACTGGGGATTGAACTCAGGGGCACTCAACAACTGAGCCACATCCCCAAATGTTAGGACAAACAACAGGAGACAAGAAGCAAACCTCGAATAGCACGCTTTTCTTTATTCAGTATTTAGCAATGTAGTCAATTGGCAGAACACTGGTGTAGCTCATTTTGGGGGCAAAAAATGGCAGCAGGTTGAAGCAAGGGTCTAGATTTTATAGGCTTTATTTAGGGTATGACAGGAAGACAGTTCCTGGGCTTCATTGTATTGGGGTCCATTGATTCATTAGGGTGCAACAGGAATGTGGATAAGGAATTTCCTGGGGCTTATTCTATTGTTGGTCAGGTGACTCATTAGGGTGAGGAGTCAGGTGCCAGTCAGGTGAAAGTTCTTTGTGTTTCTTCCCTCTGGCTGCCACCTGGGATTTTAAATGACAAAAGCTTAGGGAAAATGTCCTTGGACTTTTTTCCATACCATTCATCAGCCCTGTTTTGTATTTTATTTAGAGACAGGGTCACACCATGTTGTTACCACCTCGCTGTTGCTGAGGCTAGCTTTGAACCCCGGAACCCCCACCTCAGCCTCCCCAGCTGCTGGGATTACAGGTGTGCGCCACCGTGCCCAAAGCCCCTTTTTTATTTTGAGACAGGGACTCACCAAGTTGCTGAGGCTGGTCTCAGCTTGTGATCCTGTTGCCTCATCCTCCAGAGTCTCTGGGATTACAGGTGTGTGCCACCAGCTGACTACTCTAGATGATTTTAAATCCAGCTCTGAGCAGTGGCTCAATATCAACCTGGAGGCAAATAACAGACATCTTAGGGTCTACTTGGGCCTTTGTCTTTCTCATCCTTCCCTCTCTCCACAGGTACCAGGCAGGAAGAGTGGCGTTTGCTTGCTGGACAGTCTCTTCAGCAAGGCATTCCTGTCTCCAGTGCTCAAACTCTTAGTATGGTGATGCACTGCCACAGGGTGTAAGAGCCTCTGGGGCAACTGACACAACAGCTGAAATATATAGTTATTTTAATTTCTCAATCGGTTCTCAATGATTTGTTTTCAACCAAATGGAAGGAGGATCTAATTAAATTACTAGCTAATTACTTAAAAGTTCATATTGAAAAATGCTAAAATCAGTAGGGATACTTCAAGGAGGAACAAATAATTGCTCAAAGCATCTTCCTCATTTAGTAGTCATTGTAGTAATTTTAAAATGGCCACACGTTTTTTTTTTTTTTTTTTTTTTATCAATACCATATTTGAGGGGCTGGGGATGTGGCTCAAGCGGTAGTGCACTCGCCTGGCATGCGTGCAGCCCGGGTTCGATCCTCAGCACCACATACAAACAAAGATGTCGTGTCCGCCGAAAACTAAAAAATAAATGTTAAAAAAATTCTCTCTCTCTTAAAAAAAAAATACCATATTTGAACATTTTCATGGGGTACATTCTGACAATTTGATATATATAAGCAATACATAATGGTCAGGGTCTGGGAATGTGGCTCAAGCAGTAGCGCGCTTGCCTGGCATGCGTGCGGCCTGGGTTCGATCCTCAGCACCACATACAAATAAAGATGCTGTGTCCACCGAAAACTAAAAAAAAATGTTAACATTCTAAAAAAAATACATAATGATCAAGTCAGGGTACTTAACACATCTCTTCAAACTTTAATAATTGGGGCTGGGGGTGTGGCTCAGCGGTAGAGCACTTGCCTAGCATGAGTGAGGCCCTGGGTTCTATCCTCAGCACCACATAAAAATAAATAAACAAAATAAAGGTATTGTGTCCATCTACAACTAAAAAATAAATGTTTTAAAAAAAACTTTAATAATTTTATGTGTTGGGAATTTCGTACTCATCAAATCATTTTGAAATATGTCATAGGTTGTTTTAGCCAATAGTTACTCAAGTGTGCTCCAGAAAACCAGAACTAATTCCTCCTCTTTAACTATTCTGCTGCATCTTATCTAACTTCTTTCTTCCCCCCTTCCACCTACCCTTCCCATTCTCTAATGACCACTGTTACCCTCTGTTCAATGAAGCCAACTCTTGCATTTCCACAAATGAGTGAGAACATGTGGTATTTGTGTGTCTGGCTTATTTCACTTAATATAATGACCTAGAGTTCCATTCACGTTGCTACAAATGACAGGATTTCATTCTTCTTAATGACTGAATAATAGTGTGTTGTGTATATTATTTATACCATTTTCTTTATCCAATCATCATTGATGGATATCTTGGTTGACGCCACAGCTGTGTTATTGTAAATAGTGCTGCAATAAATGTGGGAGTGCAAGTATGTCTTTGGAATGATGATATCATCTACTTTGGAAATTTTCTCAGTCGTGGAATTGCTGGATCATGTAGTAGTTCCGCCGGGGCCCTGTGCATGTTGGGAAGATGTTCTACCACTAAGCTACATACCCAGCCTCTAATTTTAGTTTTTTAAGGAATCTCCATACTGTTTACTATAATGGCCATACTAATTTACTTTCCCACCAACAATGTATAAGAGTTCCCCTTTCTCTGCATCCTTAACAGACTGTTTAAATTTTTGTCTTTTTAATAGTAGGCATTCTATCAGTGAGGTGATATATCACTGTGGTTTGATATTTTTTTCCCCTGGCTACAAGTTTATTCAACACAGAATAATACCTTACAAGTTCATTGAGGTGGCTGATCATGTCCATTATTTATTGCTTATATATACCTGTCTCTAAACTGGAAATTGATTGCTGACCCAGCCCAGATTCGACTTTCTTGTCAGCATCAGGGGGCACAGCACTTCCGTAGGTGTCTCTGTCAGCTTCCTCTCTTGTGAGTCTTGCAGGCCATATGCTCCCCAGACCTTTGGGCTGAGGCCTGTCAGTCTCTGGTCAGCTACTACATAGAGTGGCAGGTACAATCTCATGTGGCAGGTGGAGGTAATCATGGAGATACTGGATGCCCTCATTGGTAAGGAACCAGTAGAAATATCTCCAGGCAAACTATTCCTTCACATAGATAGCCTCCAGACTTGAGAGACTGATTGTATGGCCTTCACGCCATGAAGGTTGGGCACATTCTTATCTTCCAGCTCCACATGCTTGGTATGTGGACATCCTTCTTGGCCAAGATCAGTCCCTCCTTAAAAAGGAATTCATAAATGGCAATTTGATTCTTTTTAGGCATCAGCATCACAGAGGCTTCAGGGGCCAAGGTGGAGGCTAGAAAGGCCGGTGGTTTGATTTGCATTTCCCTAATGATTAGTCATTTTGATCATTTTTTTCTTATATGTGTAAGGGTCGGAGGAAGAGACCACCAAGAGACTGACTCATGCAATTGCAGAAGGGGATTTATTGGGGATCCATTCCAGCGCGCTGGGGCTCCGTGCTCACTCAAGAAGGGAGAGCAGCCCAGAGCCCCGAGCAGGGGCTGAGCACTGCTTAAGTACACTTTTTGGGGAGGGCGGAGGCTTTGCATACATCAGGACAAATCATCATGAGGCGCAGGAAAATCAAACAACAATTCTTAAACTTGATTAGTACATTCATTGGCGGGAACAGGTTGGGCGGGAGTGATAGGTCAGTTCTAAGGGGGGAGGTACATTCAAACTGATTGGTTTAGGCCCTGCGATGTCTACATGCAAAGTCACACAGGGTCCTAGGTTATCAAACAACCAGTCGGTCAGGGGAAATATTTACTGGGCGGTTCCAAGTGTTGTTTTAACAGCTACAGGAATTTCAGGTTTTACGTGTAGCATAGGAACTTAACAATACCTGGTCCTTTACATTTTAACTCAGGCCTTGCAGTTTAGGAACTTTACAATGCCCGGTCTTTTACACTTTAACTTCAATTTCTTTTACCCTTACATATGTTTGGGTTATTTGTGTGTCTTTTAACCAGTGTCTAACTAGATCTTTATCCCATTTTAAAATTTGATGGTTATTATTATTTTTTTGGTGTTCATTTTTTTAAATTCCTTATATATTCAGGATATTAATCCCTTGTTAGATGAATAGTCTGAACATATTTTCTCCCGTTCTCTAGGTTGTCTCTTTACTGTTTCACCATCCATGAAATGAGGGTCTTAAAGGGAGAAAGGAAAGAGTGACCTTCCAAGGTTTTAGGACTTGATTTTGGAGGAGAGAAGTTCTAGCTTCTATGACTCATCTTGGGGGAAGAGGAATTCTGGTTTTAATGACTCACTTTGCAAGACAAAGAGTGAGTTAAGAGAAATAGGGTGGGGTAAGTCAGAGAGACACCGTGTTGTAGGGAGCAGTGATACCACCAGTTATAGGTGGTGAGTCCTTCCGGCTTCCCCATGTATTGAAGTTTGAACATTAGAGAAGCACGTGAGGCAAGCATATAAAGCAGGGTTTATTTAAAAAGGGATAACATAGACTTCTCCCATTAGGGAGAAGGGGGCCATAATTGGTATCCTGGTATCCCAAGAAGCAAGTGTTCTGCCCTTTTTATATGTTCTAGGCTTCTTTTGCTCTCCTGATTCCCGCCCCCCCTTATCTTTCTCCTTCCTGCGTGACTAGGCCCAGAAATGCTCAGTGGGAGGCCAAAAGGTTGGAAACAGGTGGGCTGAAGGGGGAAGGGCAGGATGGAGTAGCCAAGGACATATTAACCTTATAAGCTCCCTATTGGGAGGGGAAATTCCTGGGATAGTTACCTTGGCTACAGGTTGGAGTGGGGGCAGGTTCTTGATAAGATCCCTCAGGGGACAGTCTCTGACTTCCCAAACTTACTCAAAATTGTCCATCTTGACAGGACCTGACTGGATTTGCCTATCTACAATGACTGCCCTTCTAATTCTGGCTGCAGCTGGAGTGCATTCCTGTAATCCTAGTGATTTGGGAGGCTGAAGTGGGAGAATCCCAAGTTCAAAGCCAGTCTCAGCAATTTAGTATGGCCTTAAGCAATTTAGCAGAACCCTGTCTTAGAAACAAAAAGCTGAAAATGTTGCTCAGTGGTTTAGCACCCCTGGTGGAGTGGGGGGGGAGGGGAGAGAGAGGAGAGAGAGAGAGAGTCACTATGTTTCTGAGGCTTCACAGTCTCCTTTAGTTCCTTTAAAGTACTTGGTGTGCCAAAGTGCCATGTTTAAGGTATCATCTTCTGAGCCACAAAAGGGAGAAGAGCTCTTTGAGCTGTCATTGTGACTCTTCTGCAAATCTACATCATCATCATCATCATTATTGGTAGTGAGGATTGAACCCAAAGGCACTTTAACACTGAACCATATCCCCAATCCTTTTTTTTTTCTTGGGTACTGGGGATTGAACTCAGGGACACTTGACCACTGAGCCACATCCACAGACCTATTCTGTATTTTATTAGAGAAAGGGTCTCACTGAGTTGCTTAGCACCTCTCCATTGCTGAGGCTGGCTTTGAACTCGAGATCCTGATAGACCCAACCTGATCTTTTCTTAAAATTGGGAGCAATCTCGCCACAAAGCCATGAAAAGATAATTTCGGCTTTACTATAAATTACTGCAAATTCTGAATCTGCTTGGAATGCCTTCCCGTGCCTTAAACTCACCCATGCCTGGCTCTCTGACCAGAGAGCAGCCCTCTCTAAAACTTTAGTGACACCTCATAAATATCTGCCTTCCCTGGCCAGATAACGACCCTCTCTGAGGCGCTAATGGTCCTCATAAATTCTGATGTTGGGGCCAGCAAAAAATGTAAACTACCATTAGTGTGATGCTTGTCAGAGTTCTGTTATCTGTAACCCCCCTTCGTGTAACTTTCTGGGCTATAAAGCTGGGCTGCAGAAAAGCAGCTGCTGCTGTCTTGTTCCTGCCTTTTGGGGGAGGGAGAGGCAGCCCGGCCGGTCGAAATAATAAGCTTGCTTTAATTTTATTTTAATTGGAGTCAGCGGTCTTTTCTTTCGTCCTGGTCTAACAATCCTCCTGCCTCAGCCTCCCGAGCTGCTGGGATTACAGGTGTGTGCTACTGTGCCTGGCTATCCCCAGCCCTTTTTATTTTTTTTATTTTGAGACAGGATTGCTTAGGGCCTCACTTTGTTGCTGAACCTGGCATCAA